AAGAGAGGGTGGTTGTGGGAGGCGTGGGTTACCCCCGCCATAATGGGCCTCCAGGTAAGTGGCAGGGCTGCGTGCAAGCCCTGCCCCCCCTCCCACCCCCTGTATAGCTGAATTCGTGCAAGTTAAATGCACGTATGATGCAACTGACCTGTATTAATTTTCTAAATTTTATAGATGCTCTGTGGGTCAGAATGGTTTGGCAGGCCAGATGTGGCCCATGGGACAAATTTTGTCCACCCCTGTTCTAGAACAAGAGAGAGATTCTTCCTGCTGCTCTCCCATCTTGTGAGCTGCCTTAGAAAGCTGTATAGCTTTTCTTTCAGTTTAGGAACATTTCATAGTCTGGCTGTGCAAAAGTGAACCCCCCCCTCCCCCGCCCCCACCCAAAAAAAAAAGGACAGCCCTGGAAACATGATCACAAGATGCTTCCAGAGATTTCACATAGGAATTCACAGTGTTAAAAGCATTCTGACCTGTTACGGTCTTTTTGCGTTCTTTGCAACATAACAAATATGCTCTATTTCTATAGTCAAAAAATGCATGTAACACAAGAGTTGGCATATTCCAAGGGGTACCTTGAGTCTATAAAAAGGCTGAGAGCTTCTGCCCTAATATATATTTTTTTGCAGTGGTTTATTCGGTGTATGAATGTCTAATCTATATTTTACAAGCCTATAAATCCCAAGAAACAAAAATAAAAATTTAGTGTGTGGAAATCCAAACAAGGATGAGGAATTACTTAATGCGTTTGGATCTGATGGGCAAAATAATTCTGATAAGATGTGGATAAAATGATAATACTAAATTACCATGTTCTTTCTCTCTCTTGTTTTTTTTAATTATTTGTAGCATAAAGTCTGACGTACAAGAAGAGCAGGTCAGTTGTTCTCCTTGCCTAATCTTCTAGATTTTCACCACAACTTCTTTCTTGGCACACAAACCTTTGTGTTCTTCACTCAGGAGTAATCTGTTTAAGAGTTTGCAATTAGAACAAGCTCCCCCTAGTGGAAGCTGCTTACTTTAGCAAAATAATTATTTCGGCTATCAGCCAGAGGACTTCTCTTACAGTACAATTGCATCCTAATAAAGATGTTGCCAGATTAGCTACATCAGTCAGGGGTCTGATTGTTATTTTAAGGAGTAGACCAAGCCCTATTGTCCAAATTAAATCTTTCTTCTACCCTGTAGAGATGGGTTCAGAAAAGAAACTACACAAACACATTTGGATAGCCTGTGTAGTCTGTCCACACAAATAATTTCACTCGGTCGGGTCTTGCCCTGTTTTAATTGTAAGCATCTTTTATTTTGTTTGCTTCCTTAATTTCAAAGCAGAAAACATGTCCAGTTATGTTCTTTCTGCCTTATCTGCCATCCCCAGAACTGAAGAGTCTGTGACTGAGCCTCAATGGACAGCATTGGATGAGTGCTGGCAATAAGGCCAGCTCACTCTGATATCTGGCACTTGCTCTGCAGGGCTAATGCTTGTGAATGTTATTTTTGTTGGTAAATTTAAATCTGATTTGATAATTCACAGAAAGCAGAAATTGCAAGTAAGATGATGCCATTCCTGTAGTCACTTCTTTCTAAGCATAAGCAATCATTAGAACTAATGCAGTGGTAGAGTGTTGCTTCATATACTAGCTCAGCGTTGTACTGGTGATCTAAAAATGTGAAATGAATGCCACAAGAGCCCAGCTGAAATAAGTGTCAGTTGTGGGGATCAGTGTTACAGGCACATGGATAAATGTCAAGGAAGAGAACAGGAGTATTAGGAGAACATCAGAGCTACTTATTGAATGAAGTTGGCATGAAGTTTGGTGTTCTTAACCAAATCCTCCCAGGCTGCACAGCTGGGAACATTTCACTTTAAACAATCCCCATAGCTCTGGGGAGAAAGGGATGTAGGAGGGTGCAATGGCTGAACTGAAAGGTTTACAGTCCCCTATGTGCCATAGAGACCAACTGAAGCACTGACGTGGACGTTTATGGACAGTCTGGAGGTGTGGCAGGGACACAGTCAGTGGATCCAAAGATCCTGTACAGGGTTGAAGCAGGCCTTACTGGTACTGCACTGGGGTTTTCTATCAGGTTAACCAAATTAAAGAATGTTTTTTTTTTCAATGCTTCATACTTGTTTTTCTTAAGGAGCCTGTTACTTCTGTCTGTGCAGGCACTTCATGACCTACCTTTGGATTAGTGGGGTGGGTTCAGTGTCCCACATCAGGATTCTGGTCCTCTGTGAGAAACTTGCAAATGAAGCCAGTGTTGGTTATACTCAGTGATTTTGTTTTCTGTCTGTTGCTGGACAGGCTGTAAATATTACTTCATAAACCAGCAGCACGCCTTGTGTTTTTTCTGAAAGGTCTGATGGAAGTCCTGTTCACATGGTTGCTCACAACAGCTCTTCAGGCAGGGAGCACATTTCTTAAGCAAGCTGCCTAGGGAAATGGAGGAGCCCTTTGTGAGGGTGGAGGGTCCCAGTTGCTAGCAGTAATGCTGAAGTGGAGAAAGCAGGGTGAGTAATACCAAGTAATTGTTTCTGTTTCTAATGATGTAGGATCAGCTCTCTGGACCTGAAAAGTTGCAGATATGTCAACTGTGCCAAGAAGAAGGCAGCCTAACCAAAGGAAAGGTATCCTATAATGGGGAAAATGAGGGGGGCTTGCATGCCTGCTTCAGACAGCCTAATGGCATATTTGTTCCCTGCCTCTAGTGATGTGGGGACCAGGAAATAAAAGTGCTCATAGGATTCCTCAAAGTGTCACTTTTTGTTTGGTGACTCCCCTCCCTCCCCCTCCCCCCACTTTCCCCAACAGCACAGTCAGTCTTATCCTTTGCTTGATTTTCCTGGTTTCTGCCAGAAAATCAGTCAGAATTTGAGACTGTGAATGTCAGCTTTCTTTTTGTTACTTTATTTTTCCCACTTTCTTTTGCTCCCTCCCTCTTCTGCCTCCTTTTTTGTCTTGGTTCCTCTTTTTGCCCTTGCTCTTTCTACCTGGTCATTTCTTCCCCCGCTATTTCTTTCTTCACACTTCTTCCCCTTCTCCCTCCTGTCCCAGCACTTTCCCAAAATTATGGAAATGATGCCAAATGAGCCTGACCTCAGCTAGAGGAAACAGAGTGTCAGTTAGATTAGCTTGCTTTTCTCAAGGCTGCCAGGCCACTTGTCTCATGTAGAGCTAGTGAACTATCCCCAAATGCACCGTAGTATGGAGAACCTGTACTCAAGGGAGATGGGGAAAGATCCTACTGTCCCCCACTCTGCTGTAGTGAAGAAGAGCTGTCAGCAACACTGGGAGATGTACCTAGTCCCTCCTGCAGTTGGCATCTTTGCCTGAGGACAGCAAAAATTTGTTGCTGGTTAGAGGGGACCTTTCATTGAACTGCTGTTTGCATAAAGGTGGTGTAAACTGTGCTCTCATCACGAGTACTTAGGATTGAATTTGAAAGGTTCCCCCGCCCCCACCTCATCTCCAAGACCTGAACGGAGGGTTCTGTCCATCCCTTGTAATCCCAGCAATATTGTTCTGCAGGAGACTGAGCAAGGAATTGCCTTCTTGTTTGTGTGGTGTTGGGCAGGGCAGGGCACTAAAGCAGCCATCAGTTTTCAGCAGTTTGGGTCAGGATAGGTCCTTTTAATAATTGAGTATAGATTTTTTTTTCAATTTGCCTTTGGGAAACATTCAAGTTAAGGTGTGCTAATACCACTGTTCTGTAACTTCCCAAGTGTATGCAAATGCTTGTTTTTCTGGGTTATATACACTTCTGTTGGGTGGCTCTGTTTCAGGCGTGTCAAATATACAGCCCAGGGACCAGATTTGGCCCCCCATGGAGTTGCTGTATCTAGCCCACTGGGCTATCAGCAGGCCAGCAGAAATTGGGGGCCTGGCCAGAGGGAGTGGCCTGCTGCAGAATCGGGAGCCTTTAGGCACTGGTGGACATGGTGATCGCCTGCAGGAAGGCAAGGGCTTAATACAGCTCCAGTTGTTCTCTGTCTGCTTTGCCCATTGCTGCTGCTGCAGCCCCAGCTTCTTGGCTGCCATGGACATGTGGTGGTGGTGTGGCAGCTCCAGGATGGGGCATGAAGTAAGAGCTGGAGCTATGCTACTTTCCCTGTGCCTGAGCCAGAGCTGCTACCAGCATTGGCCCATGCCCCATGTCAGAGCTAGAGCTGCTGCCACTGCATGCCCCAGGCTGGATCAAGCTCGCAAGGAGCCCTACTGTTCACATCCAGCCAAGGGCACAAGGTGGGTTTGACATTCCTCCTCTAGTTTGTTTATACATGTATATTTTTTAGGACTGTGTGAAGCTTTGGTCCCTGATTAGATTTGGTGGAGATTCGGCCCGATTTGGTGGCCAAATCTCCAAATCCAAATTGAAGTTTGCTGATGACACAAAACTCTGGGGTAAAGCATCCACACCTGAGGACAGGAGGGTGATCCAGGCAGATCTTGACAGGCTCATGAAATGGGTGGATGAGAACCTGATGCTGTTTAACACCGAAAAATGCAAGGTTCTCCACCTTGGGAGGAAAAACCTGCAGCATGCTTATAGGCTCAGCAGTGCTATGCTGGTTAGCACTACAGATGAAGGGGACTTGGAGGTCATGATTGACCACAAGATGAACGTGAGCCTCCAGTGTGCTGCGGCTATTAAAGCGAGCAAAATGCTGGCTTGTGTCCATAGATGCTTCTCAGGCAAATCCCGGGATGTCATTCTCCCATTGTACTCGGCCTTGGTGAGGACGCAGCTGGAGTACTGCATCCAGTTTTGGGCTCCACAATTTAAAAAGGATGTGGAGAAGCTTAAGAGAGTGCAGAGAAGAGCCACGCGCATGATCAGAGATCAGGAAAACAGACCTTATGATGAGCCATGGGACTCTTCAGCCTGGAAAAGCACAGGCTCGGGTGATCTGGTAGCTACCTATAAGTTTATCAGGGGTGCTCATCAGGATCTGGGGGAGCATCTTGTTACCAGAGCGCCCCAAGGGATGACAAGATCGAACGGTCGCAAACTCTGCCACGACTGATTCAGACTGGACATAAGGAAGAACTTCTTTACTGTCTGAGCCCCCAAGGTTTAGAATAGACTGCTGCCAGAGGCAGTTCAAACACCCACTTTGAACGACTTCAAGACGCATTTGGTTGCTTATCTTGCTGGGATCCTATGATCCCTGCTGACTTCCTGTCCCTGGGGCCAGGGGCTGGACTCTGATCCTCTGGGGTCCCTTCCAGCCCAAATGTGTATGAAATCAGGAGACCCTTTAATCTCTCCGAATCGGATCGGAACCCTCCAAATTGATTTGGAAAGATTCGGACAGACACAGCTTTAAATGTTTTTTCTACATACCTCTAGGTAGCAGGTGGCTCATGAGTGCTGCAATGCTGGGGTGCATGGAGTGTCCCACAGAAGCACAGGGGGCTCCCCAGCATGCTTAAAAGCAGACCCAGAAGTGTACCAGAAGTACTTCTGGGTCTGCTGGGGAGCGCACTGGGGGGCCCCCCCATGACCCCTCCGGCTCAGTGATTGATGCCTCCTGTGTTGGGGAGGACCGGGACACCCGGGGTCTCCCCATGGCCAATCGCCGAGCCAAGGAGGTGCGGGTGGGGGGGTAGAGTGTTTCCCTGGACGCTTCCTGGCAGACCCAGAAGTGGACCGGAAGTAGTTCCGATTCACTTCCAGGTTCACCACCAAGCACGTGGAGGACACACCCCCCCACACACACACACGCTCCTGTGGGATGCTCCATGCGCCCCAGCATCACAGCGTTCACAAGCCGTGCCTGCTACCTCAAGGTATGTAGGAAAAACTTTTAAAGCTGTGTCTATGTCCGAATCTCTGATTCTCCAAATCAGTATCCAATCTTCAGATTCAGCTGAATCGAATCAGGGATCCGAATCAATTAATTGAATCACTGTCACTGTCCTTGATTTGGGCCAAATCCATATCGAATAGGGCCTGCTTCGCACACCCCTAATATTTTTTGTACGTCAAAAGATTTCAGGGTTTTGCATATAGCTGCAGGTTTTCATTAGACTGTATTTACTAACATTTGAATGTTCAAGAATTGGTATTTTAAATTATTTTACTAGAAGTCTTGTCTTACTTGTCTGACAGACTTGCGAAACAATCTCCAGTTCAAAGTGAGCAAAATAGTATGAGAATGAAAGATAACAAGTTGCTTTTGTATGCAGTTCAGGATGCTTGCTCTGGCAGTTATGAAAAGAAGCTTTGGTTTGATTTTTTTTTTTTTTTTAAAGCATCTTGGTTGGTTGGTTGTTTGGTTGGTTGTTTTTAGTCTGGAAACTAGGAAAGGTGCCAAAGAACCCCTCTCATCCTTGGGAAAGGAATTACCCTTTTGTTGCTGACAAGCTGGGGGTTCGCAATGGCTGGTATCTGCCTGAGAGAAGAATGGAACCTTCTGTCCCAACCTATTATATATATATAGAGAGAGAGAGACTGTGCTGGCCTTGTGCACAGTAGGGAGGCACCAATGGATGCTTCACACTGTCTTTGTGCCTAGGTGACTGTCATCTCACTAACAGTAGGGGTTTTTTTCTCCCTCCTTTTTTATTCTTTTCTAGAACATTTGCAAGAACTGTGGTGGGATCTTCTGTGAGGCCTGTTCAGCAAATGAACTGCCCCTTCCATCTAGCATCAACCCTGAGTGTGTTTGCAACCCGTGTCACAAGCTGTTGATACAACAATATTCAACAAGCCCATTTGAGGATGCAGGACATGGACAGTGATGCACAAATAGAGCATGTTCGAGCCATAACTACTGTAACTTTTGCTCAGCTCTGGAGCTGTAATAGGAGCTTCTAGAGAAGAATCATTTTCTGTGCTTGTGTGGTCAGAAAAAGGAAGTACTTTTATCATACTTACAATCTTTCTCAGAACTGTAAACATTTAAATAACTGGTCTGAGCCCTCCTTAAGGAAAACACGCTAGTTTTCAGGCATGAGCTTGTCGCAGGGGTGGAGAGCTGTTTGGAGTCTCATGTCAGAGTAGCTTTAAGTTATGTAACAAAGCAATTGCCGGAAGAAGTAAAAATGTGAGTCTTCAAATCAGTAAGGGTCACTTCCTCAAGGAAGGCAGAATGAAACATAACTGAACATACAATGGTGATTTTGCTTGAAATACCTGTTCCTTTTTCCCTTCTGCCGTTAGCAGTTCTACTAAACTGATACTTCAGCCAGAAAAAAAATGCACTACAGAAGTGGGAATTAAAAAATGTATGTTGGCCCAGTCGTTTCTTGAGTTAAATCCCCCAGTGGCCACTTATGTTGGGCTGTGTGGAGTAACTTCAGAAGTTCCAAGAGGCAAGTTCTCAAGGGATTTTTCTTTTGTCATCTTTTGGAGGCCTGTATATGATATGAGAATTGAATGGCAACCTTTTTGCCCAGCATTGAATGTTTAAAAGTCTTCACAGAAAAATGTTCCACTTGTATTTTAAATACAGGGTTTAAAAGAAAATACCTTTGAACTTTGTAGTGGAGGCTGTCACCGTGATTTAGACTAAAAACACAAGATTTTGGAAGTTGTGACCATACTAGAGATTGTAAATCTGTGTTCTATCTTGATCTGATAATTAGAGTAACTTAATTTCTAAATATGTAAGTGCATAATACTACTCCATTATTTAAACCAAATGTTCAGGGCTAGGACTATGCATTCTGTCCCACCATACAGCTGTTAACTTTTAAACATTTTTTTGGTTAATACAGCTGTGTAAGAATAATATTATATCTAATTACTGAAGCAATAATAACCTGTTTTACTAAGAGGCTGTCAGAGTAAAGCCTGACCACAAGGTGGTGGTTACTAGCCAGTAGCTCAGAAATGTTAATTTGAAACTCATGTTCAGTACATTTTACAGCTCCTGCTGCATCAGAATATCAGGTAAGATGTAGAATCCTTTAAAGTGACTATTCCAAAAAGGGGCAGCTGCCTTCTAAAGTCTACAGCCATCTGTGGGAATATAATCAGACTGTCATAGTTTTTATTTGATGTACTTTTTACTGGAAGCTTAAGTTAAGCATTTGAGACTGCAGAATGTACTGTAACCTGTAAAGACTGATATATGTATATTTATATATGTGTTATCTGGGTGTTTGCATTTTTGTACAAAACTATTTTAGGAAAATGTGTTGTTTTTTTTCCTTAAAGGGGATTATTTAGAAATTATATTGGTTAGAATTTAATCTTAAAAACAGCACAATGTGTAGATCAGAGTTCAGCATGCTTGCTTGGACTGGTGATGCTGTTTATCAGTATGTACTCTGTTTTGACTCCACATGATGAATACAAGGAGGTAGATGGGCTTTTTTGAAAGGAGCTCTAACCACAGGCATTTGTGTATGGGACAGATCAGAAGATGAACTTGACATGGTTTTCCTTATTCTGATACTTTCCCCATTAGGATAGTAGTTATCCCCATTAGATTAGTAGTTAGAATAGATGTATTTCCCTGCAGTTGACCACATTCACTTAGAACGGGAAACAAGTTGTAAAAGACTCCAAATCCAAAGCTATTTTACCTCCAAGAATCAAAGTGGAGAAAATGCAGCTTTCAGATTTTAGCCTCTTTTTCCAGGCAGATAGTTCTTGTACTTTGCCATCCATGTGGAGTCAGGGGTAAATGGAAAAGATGCTAAACTAATGAATCTTTATCCTGAAGATAAGATTGCTTCTGGGTGGGTAAATTAATCAATGAAGCACTGTACCAGATTCCAGGACTGGAACCTGATATTTGAATTAAGTTAATTTTGCTTTTCTGGCAGGGTCACTTGGAAAATAAATTGAAATGTAAACAATGCTAACAGCCTCTGGGTATTAAACTGGAAGCACCATCATTCTTATGCTGACATGGCCACATTTCCCTTGTAATTAGCTCTAAGATGGTAGCAGATTAATTATCTTTATGCCTCCTTTACAGTCACAAAAAAGGAAAATATGCTGCTACACTTATTACATGTTAACATTGCAACTGAAGTCTTAATGCTAAAAGCAGGATCAGCTCATTTTATTAAATAAGCAAAAACTTTATGCAAAATCTTTTATTGATTTTGGGGTTTTTTTGTTTTTGTTTTTAAGGAGCTTATTTCAGCCTACAGCTATTACCAGTGGTTTACATATTTTGTTTGAAGCTTAAATTCTTGCAAGGAAAACATTAAAAAGGTAGATTACAATGTCATTTTGTTATGGCAGCAGCAGTTGCCTCTTCTGTGACTTCTAGTATTTGACTTGATTGTCGCCACTTTAAATACTGACTATTTTAATTTATGATGCTATACAAGGTAAATTATCCAAGCATGTTTGTTCAGGTCTGGCTTGAAAGTGTAGCTTTTGGGTTCATTCCTTGAAACCTGAGTGAGAGAGGAGAAGATGTTTTCTGGCACAAAATAAACTGCTTAAAAGCATCTTTTTACAGCCTGTGTTTATTTCTGTTCCACTTACCGATTTTTATAAACTGGAATGTATTTGTTTCTACTTTGAACAAAAAAGCAAGCTAACTTTTATCATTAACAGAAGACTTGTACATGACTGAGTATTCTGTTCATCAGTTCAGCTCCTTGTCTATGTAGTGTCACCACCAGCTTATCCTCAAGGTTATTAGTATAGTTAGTCTGAAGTTGGGTTAGGGAGGAGGTAGCACCTTTGAGAGAAACTGGTTCAGAGAGATACAAACTTTTGCAGATAGTAACCTACTTGGCATCTGACTAAGCATACAGCTAAGTAGGTTATTATCTGCAAAAGTTTGTGTCTGAACAAGTTAGTCTGTAAGGTGTCACCCTCCCTTATTTTCTGCCTGCTTGTATGTTTGTGTATGACTGACTTCACAGCCCCCCATGCTATTTTAACAATTTCAGCATCTGCTTTCGTCCATACAGCATGGAACCTGGAAATAGGGTCATCCATGCTATGGCTTAACAGTTGCCATTGGTGTCTGCTGAAGGCATTGTGGAAAACTCTGATGAAAACATTTTCAGGTTCGTCATTGCCAAATTCTTGGCTGTTTCTATTTTCTCTTTACTGACCTTGTAGCCACAAGCGGCAATGGCCTTTTGCCAAATCTTCATCAGCTACTTACTGGAAGGAACCTGACAGTCTGTCGTGCCTCTAGGATATCTCTATTAACTAAGAACAGCTGTACTTGCTCTTGCTATTCTGTTTTTCATAGATTTCATAGACATTAGAGCTGGAAGGGACCTCAGAAGATCGAGTCCAGCCCTCTGCCCCAGGGGCAGGAAGCCCCCCCAAGTCCCTTTCTTCTGTAGTGCTAGCCAGTGTAGCACTGCCGAGCGTATAAGCATGCTGCAGGTTTTTCCTCCCAAGGTGGAGAACCTTGCATTTTTCAGTGTTAAACACCATCAGGTTCTCGTCCGCCCATTTCCTGAGCCTGTCAAGGTCAGCCTGGATCACCCTCCTGCCCCCAGGTGTAGATGCTTTACCCCAGAGTTTGGTGTCGTGGGCGAACTTGGCCAGTCTGCTTCTGATACCAGTGTCCACATCACTAATGAAGATGTTAAATAGTGTAGGCCCAAGGACGGAGCCTTGAGGGACCCCACTGGTCACAGGGCACCACGATGATCAACTTCCGTCAACCACCACCCTCTGGGTCCTACCGCGGAGCCAATTCCCCCGCCAGCAGATTGTGGTGAGGCTGAGGCTGCAGTTAGCCAGTTTTGTCGAGAGGTGATCATGGGATACCAGATCGAAGGGTTTTTTAAAGTAAGGATATACAACGTCAATCTCTTCTCCCTTGTCCAGGTGATAGGTCATCTGGTCATAGAAGGAAATAAGATTGGTCAAGCAAGACCTACCTGCAACAAACCTGCGCTGGCTATCCGTCAGGATGTTGCCATCGGCCAGTCTGTTAAGGATGGCTTCTTTGATAATCTTTTCTAAAACCTTCCCCAGGATAGCGGTCAGGCTGATGGGCCTGTAGTTTACTGAATCTACTTTCTTCCCTTTCTTGAAGACAGGCATCACATTGGCCTTCTTCCAATCTTTGGGCACTTCACCAGAGCGTCAGGAGCTCTCGAAGATCTGTGCCAGGGGCTGAGCTATGATGCTTGCCAGTTCCTTGAGTACCCTGGGGTATAAACTGTCGGGGCCGGCTGACTTGAAAGTGTCCAGCCTCTCAAGGTGTTCCTTCACAAGGTCAGCTTCAATGGGGGGTAAGGAATCTCTCTCCCCTGGGCCTCCCTGTCCCATAGTGGGCAGGGCATCCCATGAGACTGGTGAAAGACTGACGCAAAGTACCCATTTAGCAAATTGGCTTTTTCCTGGGCATCAGTTGTCAGTTGCCCCATCTGGTTTAGCAGGGGTCCAATGTTGCCCTTGCTTTTCCTCTGGCTCCCCACATATCTAAAAAAGGACTTTTTATTGTCCTTGATATTTGTAGCTAGTTGGAGTTCAGTCGCAGCCTTGGCTTTCCTAGCTTGCTCCCTGTGGGTCCGGACCAGAGCAGAGTATTCCTCCTTGGAGGTGGATCACGTCCTCCATCCTTTGTAGGTCTTTCTTTTTAGACGCAGGAGGTCCATTAGTTCCCTGGAGAGCCAAGGGGGCTGCTGTGCCCTTTTGCTGCCTTTCCTCTGAGATGGGGTAGACTTTGCTTGCGCATCCAGGATTGCTCCCTTGAGGAGCAACCACTTGTCCTGAACTCCCCTCTCCTTTGGGTTGTGGCCCTTTAGGGCTTCCCTGACAAGCCTCCTGAGCTTGTCAAAATCAGCATTCCTGAAGTCGAGGACTTCTGTATTACTGACTGACTTGCCAGCTTTACGGCAGATGGTAAAGTTGATCAGCTCACGGTCACTGTCACCCAGCTTCCCTTCGATCGTTAGGTCGCTGATTTGGTCATCCCCCATTGCCAGAACCAGGTCGAGCAGAACTTTACCTCTTGTTGGCCCATTGACTGCTTGAGTCAGATAGAGGTCATCCACGCACGAGAGAAAGCTTCGCAACCGCTTGGATTTGGCCAAGCGCTCCTCCCACGAGATGTCTGGGTAGTTGAAGTCTCCCATGGCAACCATGCACCAGGAGCGTGCCGCCTCAGCCAATTCCCTGGCAAACTCCTGGTCAAGCTCTTGATCCTGGGCAGGAGGTGTGTAGTAGACTCCCACCATTGTGTCCCCTGTGCCATGTTCCCCACAGATTTTAACCCAGAAGGTCTCCAGTTGTCCACCCTGGGCACCAATGTCGGCCTGCAGGGACGTATAGCTTTCCTTGGCAGAGAGCTACACCCACGCCCCTTTTGTCCACTCTCTCTCTCCGTCTATATAGCCGTCTATACCTGTGGCCCAGTCAGGAGTTTTGCTATCTATAAATAGAAAGATTTGTATAGTGGCCTCTGAGCTCCAAGCAAACTAGCTTGGGAATCAAGAGCAGTATACAGCTGCATTAGCATAGTATTCTGTCCAGCTGAAAAGCAGGGATAAATAGCTCAGGTGGAGCACTGTGTTAATGCTGCTATCCTGATTCCAGTTCCAGAGCTAATTCTCTGGTACATCTACATAGCACAATGTTATGCACTATGCACACATGTAAAGAAATGCTGACGGCTCCAGTTATGAAGCTGAAATAATTCATTATTAATTTAGGAGGGCAGAGATAAGAGTATGACAATAAAAACTAGTAAGGCTGCATGAAACTAGATTAGCCCAATAGGGCTTTGGCACAGGTTACCAATATAATGTCAGAAATCTACAGAACGTCGTTGTGTCATAAAATGATGGTGTTTTTTAGAACAGCCATAGATTTCATGTTGTTTCAGACCTGCATGACTGTGACTTGCCCCTAGAGGGCCTGATGACAGTGATGAGCAAGAGCATAGAAACAGTAGCCAGGTGGAAAGTTTGGAGGGAGCCTCGTAGCTCACCAGGGGCCTTAAACACAAACCAAAAAAAACCAACTAAAACCCCTTTTGAAGTGAACAGGCAGCAGGGTGGGAGAAACGGGAGAGGAGTGGGGGCAGGGGGAGCCCAGATGTATGTGCATGTATCTTGTGTTGCTTGCTCTTGGGGTTCTCCTTTTTTGTACCCAGATTTTTAAAACTGGCAGATGAGGTTACAAGCAGTTAACTAGGATCCTGATTGCTTGCCCATCTGCCTGCTGAGTGAGAGTGAG